TCCTCCATCGATATAATCAGCCTAGCTTGAGCAGATTCTTGGCGAATGGTGCATTTCGTTGTTGATCTAATACCAAGGAGACCAGAATTCATTCAATGACCGAAACCTTAGGCATTTCGAACACTGTAGAAGAAAGATAAGTGTAGAAGCCCAATTATTATAAGTGAGCATGTTTCATTCTAATTTTGAGGCTAACAGCATAACCCTATTCACCGCTAAATTATCAGAATTCAGGAGAAATGCTCAGTGTTTACAGGGCTATGTGTGATAAAACCTGGAGAGCCCGCGGAACCTTAGGTCATGTGATGCGCGCGATACCGGGCGGAGCAAAGCTGGTTCAACACTATAAACAATAGAACCGCTAAATTGCACTGACATTCATGTATGGTACATTTCACCCGCACTCCACGCGCGTATCGAACGGTGAGCTTCTACAAAGACGAGCAGCCTATGGAACAGCCAGCTAACGCATTTTACGAAGCAACTAAATGTTCAGCGATCGGCTGTCCTGTTTCACCTATGCCTCCGTGTTCGGGGCCCTGTAGCGTCGGCGCTAAACTGGCTCATACAATATATTTCGGTGACAAAAACTTGGGTTGGGGCACGCGGCGGCGCGGCAGTCTGCTCGCCTGGCATGTTCGGAAATCCGTGGGCCAGGGGGAGTGTAGGCAGTCTAGGGGGGGGGGTGGGGGCAGTCACTTGACATGCGTGAAAAGCTGGAATGTTCGAGTTTACACTGTCTCGCTCGAGAGAGCCCAGGTGAGCAGACTGCCGCGCCGCCGCGTGCCCCCCCCCCCAACTAAGTTAGCACCTTTCATTAAACGTAAGCAATACGAACTGACGAAGCAGGGAGCGCCAGATGATACAGGTATGGCAGTCTGTGGCAGACTCTGTAATATGGGGTATTCCAATCAATACACATATGATATTCATAAGCGGATCCAATCTTATCGTTTGTGCACCAACTCTAGAGTTAATATTTACGGCTGATCGATACCGCCTACCTCTAGGTAATCCAAATCAATGAGTCGACCCCCACGTGATCCACAACAGAAGAACTTCCACATGCGGTTGGAGAAATTCAGGCCAAGCCACGTCTGAATGCATTAGGTGATTTTTGATGCACTGACCAGATCAAACATGAATATATCACTAGCAGAAGAAAACTTACCTTGAATTGCTTGGATTAGGTCAGATATAGCCATTCCACAGGTCCGCCCCCAGTCGAACTGATCACAAATCTCTTTCACAGAAAATACTTTCTTAATAAGGCAAATGCCTGGATATGGTAGTGTTTATTACACAATGTTCGCTGTGGAGCACATATATGAGCAATTAATGTTTTATTTTGTTGAGCAAGGCAACATAATCAATCACTGTAAACTCCAATGCAAAAAAATGCGTGCTACAAGAACCTAAGATCTAGAAAGAACAATGGCACTGAGTTATGAATCGGATGCTTTTTCAACTCCGCTATCCTTCCAGGTACCAGTATCGTAAATTGAGATTGCCGCGTCGTCCAATATCAACCTGAAACTCTTATGGAAGAATACGGATCATTTCTCCAGCGCTGACAACAACGACGGGCGCTGCAAGCCACTACAAGGGAGGTCGTTCAGGCTGTGCCAAGCTTTTTCAAAATTGTTTCTTGCATGACATTGGGGCACATATGGGGACCACAAAGCATGGTTCATTTTTCCTGAACGGCCCTCTGAATACCAGAAAAGGGGTCCCTGTCACACCTTTATTTCACATTAATGACAATCAAAGTCTATATTGTAGGGGTTACTGACGGTTCTAATTATCATCATAGGACCGTCAGTAAGCCTTACAGAATAGACTTTGGGACCCCCTTTTCTAATATTCAGAGGACCGTTCAGGAAAAAAAGTTAACCATGGTTTTGCGGTTCCTCCATGCCCCATATCATGCAAAGACCGTTCTATAAAGCTTGAATACCCAACACATTCCCTGTGAGAGCCACCTGAAATAATACCTTTGCATACACCTGGGAATGTAGCAGTTACGCATTTAGCAGTGCACGATCTCAAAGACCCATACGATGTGTGACTTTGATGTTATGATACTCTTTGATGCCGTGCGTGTTGCAAGCACATGTGATGTGGAGAGCACAAGAAACAACTGATTCTTTTTACGGCTATGAACCTCCCTTCAATTACGAAAATCACGAAATGCACAACTGCGGAAAATAAAAGTCTATCAGCCATGGGATATGCGACGAAACAAATTGTTTCATCTTTTCGCTCCTGCTAAAGGCAGTTGGCGCGAATATTCGGTCGCCCTCGGAATTGATTAGAAGTGGTACGTGATACAGTGTTAAAAAATCAAGAAAAGCAGCCAAATATTCGCGAGACTGGACCCCACTCCGCCTTGATGATTTCCGCTTTAGTGAGAAAGCAACCAAGACCGAGTTCGTTAGGACATGTCAATTCCAATATCCTGCATCATGCCAAGAAACTATGCTTTGATTGATAACGTAATATACAGATGAACTGAAACAAAGAACTGCAGAAGTGAAATGTCTTTCCAAAATGAAAAAGTAACGGCGTTGATAAAAGTCACTATCAGTACCGACACGCTACTGTTATCATTAAGGCACCGGAGATGGGCTCTCTACGAAGACGATGCTCACTACGGTTACGGCCTTGCTGAAGCTAGAACCGCTACGGGCTCGCCTTTCGCCGCGCACGTGTCTTGTCCTTCTTGGGTTTACCATATCCTCCCTTTATAATGAACATATTCCGTCCTCAACATTCGCAATACCGTAACGCGAACATATACACTATTTCAGATCTTAGGCTCAACCCTCCCACCTAGAGAACCTTTGGTTGACGGAAGTCTGGGAACTTGAACAAAGTGTACATATTTTCCCTAATGGCCTAAAATAGTGTTTTTGTTCACGTGCATTACGACGCATCCAAATGCTCAATAAAAGCAAGTATAAAAAACATTCAGTAACGACATTGAACGCATACGCATCATGAATAAATTATTAAGCATTTGAAAATAAGAAGCCTCCCTTGGATTATGAGCATGGCTTCAGACTATTTGCCTCAAGCAACAAACGACAAGCCGCCTACCTTATTTTTGCCGTGACAAAAGGTTTGCTTTCATCATCTCGCACAGCCATGACGTCCATGTAACCGCCAGATATTGTTCCTGTCACTGGAATCCGCAACTGTAATAACTTGGAACGTTTTGGTCAGGACAGCCTAACGTAAACATACTCCGCTGAGCTAGCACGTCACATTGTGCTTGTATCGCGGGACAGGATCAAAAGGTCATGTTCACAATTTTAGAAATTTTATGATCCCCTGCCCTCCTCTTAAAGGGTCTCTCTCGACGCTCCCGCCCCTCACCACCATGTTTTTGTACCACTGGATTCTGAGACCAGTCGTCTGACCAAATTCCTTCCCCCAAAATACCCAAACCGGGGTGTCGAGGGAGAGATGAGCACAATGTCTCTCAAGAAACGGCAAATGCTCTATAATGTCCACTTCATAATTCTTTTTAGGTTAAAAAACAACAAGAATAGAACAAAAGTTACCCATTTCTCACAAGCAAAGCCCTCAACTCCTTAAAATACAACCCACACTTGATCTTTTCACCGTCGTCAACCCCACCGCTACCACACAGAAGCAAACACTACCCGCTCTAGATCGGCTGAGGGACAGCTTATCCCAGTTAGGAATCTGTCACCCGTCAAAACAACTGAGCGTTCCAATGGCAAAGTTTGAATGTCCTTCCCATGAAATTGCATCATGTTACCTTCCTTGATTCGTATGAATGAATTGGATAATCGCATGCTTCCAAAAATGCGCTGCTGCTGCCCAATGATCAGTTTAGCATGATGGTTTGACAACTCACCATGCTTGTGGTTTTTCCTACGAAATTATGCCGACGATCTGCTAAGTCTACTGATCCAACCTTGATCGGTGGGCCTAATGCATCCTGAACAAAACATTAGGAGAACGCCAATGAATTATTAGCACAACACATACTTTAGAGCTTGAGAAGTTGAAAAGGGAAACTAGATGTCATTGGAAGATTGAGCTCACTTTTGCACGGTCATGTTGAGCGACGATTTCCAAACTTTGATGTAGTGTAGGAAATTTCGCACTTTGCGTTGCACAGACTTCTGTGCCAAATACAGTGCCGTCGACCCTACCAAAAATCCGCCAGCAGCGATCTTAACTAACGTAGCAGTTTGAACCTAAATGAAGTTGTACTATACACTGCACAGAAAAAAAAACGAACTTAATAACAAATGTTTTGCAGACTAAAGAGAAAATGGAATGTCTGCTCACCGTGGATCTACAAAGATCTCCACTGTCGGACTAGGTAGGGATTTAAGTCGTGTGTTCAAGCATCCAGTTTCAGAGATGTCACTGAAGATGAAAAATTAACTTCTCTATGGCGTATTATACAACGAAGAAGTATATAATGGTGTCACAGTTTGTATATGGTTCAGTCGAATCTTTATTGCGATAATGGAACGAGAGTAAGGCACATGGAATGCAGAAACTACAGATGAGCAACAAAACATCAATATTCTCTATGTAGGGTCCATGCACAAGTTTGACCGATACCGGCCATTCCAACCACTTTCCAACCCTCCTTTTCTAAAATGTCCAGTACTTGACGAGGTGCTAATGCTGTCATGTACTCCTGCAAAAAAAACAATAGTGAATGCGACAAAAATCAAGATGCCAGGAATCAAGAAAAAGAACAACTTGCCACAAATTCGTTGCCAAGTTGTCGTGAAGGATTCGCCTCTAACCGTTCCATTAGCTCTTTGTCGCTTTCTCCGTCTCCCACAAACGTCGGTCCCACTTCAAGTCGAATTTGCGTTGATATTAGCATATAAGGCATAGGAGATAGTATCTACTTGAAAATTAGTGCGAATTGAACAACAACATTCGAAGGTAGTGATATGAGCTTCGAAACCTGCATCACAACACTGCTAAACAATCAAAGCAATATCGATTGATAGGAAACAGATAGACAGAACGACATGAAACCTTAGCGACATATTACGTCAAACATCACATCAGGATTGAATAAAACTGAAAGAACTTTAGGATGACAGATATATCACTAATCAAGAACTGTCCCGTGAAAAAGAAACAGCTGAAAGCAACAGGCCCAGATCGCTAACCGGTTTTTACTGCGCCATTTAGACCGATAATTACAACACGTGAACAAAAAAGTTGTCAGATAACACAAACATACGAAATCGTAAATTGCATCACAATTTAACACAAACTCAAACTGAGAACGATGTTCAAAAATAAAGTGAGGAATGCCTCGTAGATCAGTGGAAACTCATCAAATGTGAAAACTTTCATTGCAGATAAAAAATTAGTATAAACAGTTCTTAACCTTCGAATGTTTCACCAAACAATAGCAAAGGAGAAGGTAAGGAAAGAGTGATGGTACCATGTAGATCTATCTTCCTAGCTCTGTCGCAAAAAAAATGTATGCAAAAAATTAAACGGCAATTGAAGTCTCAGCACATCGAACACTAATCTAAGAAAATGAGCGCAGCATACTTAGTTCCTTTAGGCGGACAAATTATCTACATGAGAGCGGAGAGTAAATCAATGTACACCATTTTTATCTCTATCACGGGACTGCACCGTCCACGGCATTCCTGAAACTCATCGATATTATGCTCTTCTCTGAGTCAGGCGCCAAAGTAATTAAAATATTGACTACCCAATCCGACATTGAAGAATGACTAGTATTCCAAAGGACTGCTACTCATTCCAAGACCCTCATCCTCGTTCGTTGGGAAACAATAAGGCAACAATGCGGTAGTTTTCATGCATCTTTGCAGAAGAGCAGGGTGAAGTTGAGCAACCGCATCCATTCTCTCCATCTCCTGCCGTAATACGTTTAACCTGAAAAAAGTAATACTGCTCAATAGTCACTGACTAAGAACGTTTCAAGCAGTGCAAGGTGTAAGTGTCGAAGATACTAATCCCTACACCTGCGAATGGTTCCGTAAACGATTAAGCCACTGTTTTCCATTCCGTACTGATCTAATTCGAATCCACTGAAGCGACCCTGAGCTCGAGCGTCGATTCAAGCTAGGCGATTTCCCTGGTGTAACGATGACCGTACCCAAGAGAAACCCTTCGCCTGACTTCCTAATTTCTTGATAAAGTTAAAGGCATCAAGCTCAAGAGAACGGTTTCCAGATGTATCTAAATAACAGAGGTGACTCGGCACCCAGCCACTTCTACAGTCTCACAACATGATAGGTTGCACCCATGCGAGACAGTTATGGTAAAATTCAAGGACTGAAACAGACAGCTATCAATCACCTTCCATTTTTTCTTTTGCGATCAGTTCTGAGAAATTGGTAAAGAAACGCTGATCAACGAAACTGTCGAATGCGAAAAATTGATCGCTCATAACCATTGATACATATATACCCATATACTACTGCTGCTTTCAAACCTATAATTACTAAAGCATACCTTTCTAATTTGGAAACAACATCATGGTTGTTTATTTTCTCTGGAACGACCTCAAGCCGAACAACACCTTCACTTATAGAAACTTCAGCTAGCAATTTCGCGAATACGTTTGAACAGTGTCTGAAAATTATCAAGTAAAATGAGGTTTCATTAACTGACATAAAAAATCATAGCTGATTACTATACTTCATTATTTCGAACTGCGCGTCGTAATCAAGAATAGTGCTCGGGGCAGCCTAAATATACAGCGAGTGGAATTGGATAATATGACTGGAACGTAAATAGTGCTTATTCCACGCAATCGCATGCATGAAAGGTAAGATTACCAACAAACTTTGCAACAGAAGAAATGCTTTTTCTCCGAAAGTTCCTTTAATATGTAGTATGGTAATCAGGCCCTACTAAGAAGCGCCATCACTAAGTGAGCATCCATAATAGCGTTAATGAAAATCAAGCTCTTCTCGCCACGCACCTCAGTGAACACCTTCCTGTTGTCATTGAGCACTTTCTCTACAGCACTTGCTCGATCTCCGGCTGACTGAACAGCCGTCGCAAGAGCGGCATATGGATCTCTACCAGTTTCCAAAGCCGCGAGTTAACGCTGATGGGCGACCAGCATGGCATGTATAATTTTATCCATGAAACAATCAAGCTTCGCCGACGGATGCTAACTAAATATAATTCTCATAGAATAGACATATGATTCAGAGAATGGATTTTTTGATAACAAAACTTTTCGAAATGAGATATGGCCATTGCAAGTAGTAAATGGAAAGTCAACCAACTAAATGGGAACACTCCCAAAATATAATTCTGGAGAAGTAATTAAACACCTTTTTGAGTGCATCAGTGTGGGGCGTACACTGTAGGCGAACCGAGGTATCATATAGCATCTTTCAATAAAGAAATAGCACGGCGTAGTTCATTCTTAATTACCACGATTTCAAAGCCCGACCTCAGATATAATACAAAACTCAATAACAAATGTAGAACTTACCCTTCTCATTAAAAGAATAGCTCCATAGTAGAGATACAAAAGCATATACTTTGATTCAAAGTAGTAACGGCACTTGGAGCATAAATCGCTGCAGCTGCTTTTACGAACATGTTTGCGACATTTGTTCCGTAGTTGAAGTCAGGATGTGCTGAGCAGGACTCTCTGTTAACAATTAACAAGTGGTTGCAAAAAAAAGCGCGGAAAATAGGAGTAATCCTTAGTTGATGAAGAATCGTAAAGATGACAATGCAAACAGTTAAATTTCATTACATTTCTTGAAGCAAGGAAAAGCAGAGGAAGTAGAAATTGAACAGTAAAATGTATTCCTGGTTGATAGCTCAGAAATGCGCTCATATTAAGTTTTCTTCGAATAAAAAAACGCACCTCATTTACTAAAGCAGTGACATTTCTATATATGTATGGCAGGGCCGCGTCAACGTTGTTCAAACGAACACAAACAGCGAATAAGGCGGAGTGGAGAGAGGACACAACACCTTCATTAGGATCAACCAATACTCGCATTGCTGATAGAGCGAATCAAGCCTATTGTAGGCTGACAAGGTGGTCGGCGTTTTCGGAACAAATTTGTACAGAAAAGAGAAAACTCCAAAACTCAACTCACTTCATTCTTTTTCCTTAGACAATAGTTAACGGCATTCCTGGCAAGCGGAAAAACTGAAAAAAATGGAATGTGAGATTATTCTGGGAAGTCCGATGCTTCCTTGATGTCAAGGGATGTACATTTTAAAATGACAATAAGTGGACTAACCGACATCTGGAACAAGTTTCAAAATGCTCCCACACTACCTCTTTGCCGCTCTCATGAAATGTTTTTAGGAACTTCAACAAGTCTTTCCCTGTCCAGACCTTGCTCATTATTCTTTGCGATGGAACTATCATAAAGGGCCTTGATGGCTACCATCATTGCTGCCTGAAAAATAGCCTCAAAAACTGTAAAACCATGGACTGGTGAGAAAGAAATGACGAGGTCCCAAAGGACACGAGCCAAAAGTTAAAAAACTGATTACGATGAGAAAGTTTCTCTCCTCAAAACGGATAAGTGTTCTATAGAAGGGATTTCGCGCCTGAAAGTAGCTGCGCCTAGGCGAAATAATAAGGAGAGGGATCGTGTATGACTGTAGGGGGAAGAAGATCCGAAGACGAGCTTTAGTGAGTAACGAGCCGGCCCATCTGCATTGCACTGTTTCAGGATTCAGACCAGAGCAACGCGCGCGTGCTGAGTAAGTAAACAGAAACCATTAAAATAAACAAAAAACATAGGAGCATATCCTATATTCGGTCAACTTGCGACAAGATTCTTATTGTAGAAAACGATGGCACCAGCAAGACTGAAAAGAAACAGAGACTACATAGGAAAAGAGCCCAGGAACAAATTGGACTCAAATAAGCTACGAGTTCTTAAGTCTCCGTCCTAGAGAATTTCAACAATCTAGGAGAGCATTGTGGCATATTCCTTGGAGAATGCACCATTTCTGTCCTGAACATCGAGAGAACTCGAACGTAGCAGGCATCTACTCCTTCTAAAATCGAGCAAATGATTCATCAAGAGGACAGTTTAAGTACGTTCTTGAAGGTCGCGTTCTTTCCTAATGACGCATGGATAGGGTGCCGAAGAACCCCCGTCTACATTCATGTATAAAGGAGGGAAAACATCGATCCAGGGTTTGTTTAACACGTTGACGACATCGCATGTTTTGGCATTTTGCACCTCGTGGGACAGGAGCGATTTTGCGACCGCGCCGTCCTCACCTTACTTACGCTTATTTTTTGTTAAAAATGCACAATAACTTGAATTTCATAGGACTATTTCGGCAAGGACGATCGCACAAAGGTTAAGTATATAAGTAGCAAAAGGTTTTCGTTTAGAAGAGCGCATAATAACCACGAAGAAGTAAAAAAACATCACTTTCGCTGCGAATGAAATTAAAAGCATTTATATCTAAGTACTCCCATCAAATCAAATATATTGAAACTCACAGAGTTTTGTTTCAACTAACTCTAAAATCTTTCATAAGAATATTGACGGCAGTGAAAGTATTATTAAGAAAGAATCGGAACGAAAGTTTTGTGCGTTCGGAAAATCTTTGCTTAATCAAAAGATACTTGACCACTCTAGCTGCCAAGCGGTTTATAGTCATGCTAATGTATTATCTATAGAATGAATACAAGAAACCCGAGAGGAAGGAGCGCAAGCACGATAAAAGTGAGTAGCATAGACTTGACGCGCTTGCGCGTCAGAATGTCCGATGCGGTGCGAAATTCTTGACGCGCATGCGCGTCAGCTTGTCGTCAACGTGTTAAACCGGTGAATGTCAGTGTGCCAGTGAAGAATGTGCCTGGGCTGATACCACATTACAGGCAAAAGCCATTCATAACCGTTCCTAAACAGTGGGTTCAACGGAAGAGGGGCAAGGTAAGCTGCCTACCGCGAACCACCTCGGCGTGTACCGCAACCTATGAAGTCGCGACTGTGTACGATTAATTTTAGCGAGAAAGAAAGCAAAACTCGATGAGAGTCTCTCAAACATATTAAAAAGAATGAAGTTAACCTGATCTTCCTGATCAGTTTGGACCCGTTTGGATAAACGAGATTAATAGCAGAAAATTTACCGATCCTATCCTCGGATTGCAATTTGTAAGGAAGTGCTCTACTTCTCCAGGCTTCTTCTCAAAGACGTCCTTATATTTCCGTGCAATTTCAGCGACCTTTTCAGGAGCGCCTTCTGAAAAGCATACGGATTAAAAAGGAGTAACATCAACAGTAACGAATTGTGCGGGATAGAGTAAATTAAGGAAGACGTTTTTAGTGGAACAATTAGACTGGCTCACCATCGCCTTCAGGAATCTCATTAATGATCTTTAGTAGTCCCTCGATGTTAGGCATGTCGGTGAAGAGCTTGGCTATTATAGCACTCATTCAGCTTCCACAAGCTGTCCAATTACCTACAAATTTATTATCAACATACGTTTAGCATATGTACATGACGATACTCAAAGAAAGCAATAACTAGACACATACAAAGACAAGACTCATGGAAAAAGCACAGGGACCATTCAAGGAGTGGACTAGGAATCAAAACTATACAATTCTACATGCTAAGAGCTAGAAATGAAAATTACAGAGACCTTCGGATATGATTTAGATCTCTCATCTTCATTACCCGTGATAGCCAAGCGCATGAGTGAGCAGGCCGGCAAGGAAAATAAACTGTAGAAACTACACATTTTGCAACTTGAAATAATGTCCGACTTCCCCTCTTCTTTTCAAAAAGTTGGAACATTCCTTCCCGATAAGATTCCGTATTTCACGACTGCCCCTGTTTGAGGATACTAAAGCAACATTTAGCAAATGTATGTCTCGATGGAAATGTATCCTCGAAAGTAAGAAATGCTGGATATCTCTTCAATCTGGACAAATGCTCGGCTCCAGCCATGCTTAGAAAGAGTGTTTGCTGAGCTTGTTACATAAATCTACTCGGCTCTTCACTTCTCTCACATCCAGTTTTGTCGAGATTGTAAAGCGCTAGGTGAAGATTCGTAACATCTTCATGCTCTTTTTTCATTTTTCGCATGCTCTCCATTTGCTCGTCAGTCAATGATCGCATTTGGCCACTCCGGAATTCCTCAAGAAGCTTCAGCATTGAGCGTTCCAAGTCGTCCAGATCAGGATCAGAGTGTTCAACACGTATCAATTCCTTACGAGCAGGTACAAACTCCGTTAGAAGTGACTCCTCTAAGAGTCGACCTTCCATTCGTAGATTGCCGCACCGCCTTCGTGCCCTTAAATGTTATACATATAATGGTATAATTAATGACTGTTTAAAACATTCTTGACATAGCAACTTTTGTAAGATGGTTTTCTGATGACTATTCAGAAGCGTATAAAGTTCTCTACACCACGACAACAGAGAATTTTCAAAACAGGAACTAACCTATTTCCAGAGCAGTGCGAAAACCGTCCATTCCCATGTGTTTCATTTCGTACCAGTTTTCCTCGATATCAGGTAGCGGCAGCTTATCTGGTCGATGAAGTGTTTCTTCTTCGCATATCGAAATTTTTTGTTTGTCCTCCTTTTTATCCTCTGATCTAGTGAAACGATGGAGGAAACTAGAAAATGACGTAGACGTCTCTCTCCGCTTCGTTTTGTGCTCATCAAGGGATTTCCGATTCCACTTTTTCTCTCGTTCACGTTCATTTTCTTCGGATTCGTTCTCTATGGGTGGTACTGAAGCTGTCATCGGGGTGGAGAATGATAGCAACTCCTTCTACGATTATTTCGAATCATTCCGTACCCCAAAAATTCGGCAGTTTCGCTTCCTAGGGGCGAGCGGCCTTGTTTCGCTTTGGCATGGTTTGTTAGATGATGATTCTAAAACTTACGGCACACCTGGAAAAGCGTACACACCACCTTGACTTTTACACAAAAACAAGTCAAATATTCGCCATCTGCACACAGCAAACATCACGCCTGACCTATCCCGATACTATAAAAAAGAGAAAATAAAAAACACGATAAATAAGCGCAAAAAATATTGCGGGCACATTGAGATCAACTGATAGCTCGTACTGTGAACGATGTGGTAATTAAAAAAAAAACGAAGAATCGCTACTGTATAGCACCACTCATTTTACATAAAATTGCGGAGATACGTCAAAATCCCGAAATGTTCGGGAAGTGTAGTACGGGTATTAGGATATCTTGTTCTGCTGGAAATTATAACGAAACATTCAAGAATGATCGACACGTCTGAGCTGCTGCTCTCCCTGGATCACGTGAAGTATAGGAAGTCTGGGGATGGACGATCACCAATTGGACGGTTGCTGTTGTACAAGTACATTTGTCTATTTTTTGCGTTCATTTATTGTTTTTTTTTTCAAATTGGCTTCGTTTAAGGGGCTTTAACTTGCTATTTGACTGGTCTCTGTTTCTAGCTCTGCGGAGTGCGGCATAGAACGGATTAAGTAGATGTTTCTTCTTTTCTTCAAAAGGACAAGTGTGATCATTTAAGGGAACATGTGGAATGGAGAGATAATGCTGGACCGGAAATCCTTTACGTGAAATTCATGCAAATCAAAGGTTCATTGTTCTTCCGTTTCCATTAGAAGAATATTCTTTGCTGTTTCTTTGGGTGGATATTTGCTTCTCTTAGGTCAGCGTGTTTCTCCGCCTAACAAGTCGAAGGTTCAGTTGCAGTTGGTGCTTCAAAATGATGACCAAGCAACGTTCGTGTTCTTGAATCCTGCGCTTGACAAAGAGGCCTGGATCCAAAGAAAAGGAGATATCTCAAGGAACGCTTCAACGGCTTTGATTGCCACCGTGCAACGGGTTAATCAGGTTGGTTTGCGAACTACGTGCTTTTTTTGTTGTTGTCGAAGCCGTTCCGCCCATATATACTATTGGAAGGAGGGGAAAGAAATCTAAGGGCTGTTGTGAGTCTTTCTCTGACTCATCCTCATGATACTGTAAAATAATTCATCTTAAAGGCATGTTTTGGGCATTTCTTTTCAACATACACTACTGCAATACTGTGTTACAAATGTGAAAGCATCCCCACCTTTACACAATTGGGGAGTTTCAATCTCGGGTGTATTCGCTTTGTTTTCACAACGCCTTGATAGGTATTCGCATAAAATTAAGCTCTTTTAATCATACTAATGCGTCTGTTACATTCAACCTTACATTTTTTAGTTAGCTGCAACCAATGAGCACGATATCAAGCAGACCGAACTTCGGGAGAAACAACGAATTCTCGGAGAGAATAAACAGCTCGATCAATTGTATAATCACACCTCGTGGCTTCCAAATTGATAAGTGCGCAGGATTTCTGGACCGATTACTACAGCTCTGTAAGGCTTGATGAGATTGTCTCTCCTTTATGTTCTGTTTTAAGATGGCTCTTTCTGAGATAGCGTTTTGGTTCTTTACTTTTCAGAGTGGTACTGTAGAGGATAAAACTGGAATAAGTGGTGCGTTCCTCACAAATATCGTGTGCAACAAGAGGGAACAAATGGCATAAAGTTAAATCTGAATACTGAAATCATTCAAGCAGTTTTCAACACTTATCCAGCAGGTTAATTTTAATCTCACTTCCTTGTAGTTGAACATGTGTTAGTCGGTGTTATTAGTTGCGAAGAACATCTCGACTGTCACATGAATGCCTGAGTCGCAATTCTTGGACCAATGTTTTCCAGTCACACTATCTTCACAGGGGAAAGAGGGTGTCGCGTTGTAAATGACACGCGTTTTTCAACTTACTGTTCATTTCAATTGTATATGAAAGCTGATCTTAAGGTACTGCCTAATCCCAATGATCCATTTTCTGATTGCGTAAGAATGGATGAGGCTGAAATGGATAAAATGCATGGTGATGGTGTTTATCGCAAACGATTTGACTTGGAACATCTAGACGACAATGTTATCAAAGAGTTCTCGGTGATTTCACGTTATTTTCTCCCATTTTGATCAGTTTTGGAAATTTTCATTTCAGAAACCGGAGACATCCAAACCATCTGCGAAGACCACTCTTGTTAGGCGTTGTAATTACTTATCCGAAAAAATACTGTCTGCTTTGAAACCATCCACCTCTACTCGGATGAAAGCAGCTCTCCATCGAACTCTCAGGCTTCGGGGTTTTGAATGTGAGGCTTCCCCTTTTTATGTGTAGGTATTGATTTCGTGGGTCGCAGAGTTGTCAGAACTCTACTTCTTTACGGTGTTTACTGGTTCATCAAAACTACTGTTAATTGTATTCAGAGGATAATTGAAGAGGAAGAAAGTAGACTGAGTCAAGATGAATTGATGGATCAAGTTGGGCCGCAGGAGTGTCTGAACCTCAGCATCAATGCTGATCACGAAGAAGGCGTAAATGTTAGTCCTCCCTCCACTACCGTTCTTGTTTTTTGTTTCCTTGGTTCTCAGAGTGGTCATCTTTTTCCGAGGCTTCAGAGCAAATGATATTATGGCGTATGTAGAATTGCTTTTGAATTTATTTTTCCTGTCCAGAGAAATGGTAATTGCCATCTTTTAAAATTCTGTTTTTCCTACATCAGCACATTTGTGTTGTTCCGTAATTGTAAAAGCATTACAATTGTATCATATTGTAATGTTAAATGTTGCCCAACAGTAGCTTGGTGGTCCTGCTTGCAGCATCTTTTTCTGTTTTGTTCTATGCAGTATGTTTCACCGACCATTTTCCAGCGAAGGTTTTCACCTGAGGAAGCTGCCAATTTCAAGGACGTTGTTCTTACACTCTTGGAAAGCTCTTCATGTAGGTGTTTTTCTTATTTTCCAAGATTAGATGTAGGCAGCAAAGTTTTTAAAGGAAGTCGGCTTATACAATCATTCCAGGACATATTGATTCCCGAAGACGAAGAGCTAGTTAATTTCGAAGTTACCGATAGTGATATGGTGAGGTTGTGGGTATTTTTCATACGTCTTCTGCATTACTGAGGCGTTCTAATGTGTTTTAGAATGGAACCGAGCATGACAGAGCTGAAGAAGGATGTGGTGATCCATCAGAATGGGGATTGTCACCTCTTCAACTCAATGAACTGCGAGCTATCCATGATGCAGTCGCAGAACTTTTAAAACATTTTTGGATGTGCTTTCCGCCAGTCACACCTGAACTAGAGGATAAGGTGAGGTGGTCATGCAATCTCTAAATGATTTGTAGCTGTTGGATGTGCTTGACCTATTTGAGTGTGTCATATTCGGAAGAATGTAAATCTCGGAGGTAACCAAACCTTTACCGTATCCCAGTTCTCGACGTTGCACTGGGGCGCGCAATGTCACGTGCCATCGATTTTCTACGTCTGGCCTCCCACTTCTCGTTTTCTCTGCGCCCTCTCAACGAAGAGAGAGTGCGTCGAACAGGCCCGCGCATAGTACTAAGCGCCGTTCATGCAGAAGGTGGACGATCCAATGCAGTCGACTGTCGCCTCACGTCGGATGAGGCGGCACCCCGGGGATTACCTCCCTATGCTCGCGCGCAGCGCGCGCAGCGTCCAGCCTCGCCGCGCAAGCGGCGAGGCGGTTGGTCCTCGTAGTTAGCATGCTTGTGCCATATTCATAACAATTTAGCTCCAACGAAATGATCAAACTGCCTTCACGACTTATGAAAGCAGATAGCTAGAGAACCGAACGCCAATTTGGCAACAACGTTGTTCTGCTTAGTAACGGATTTCGAAGCGTCTTTGAGCTGTGTATTTCGTGTCATTTGATTATTCAAGGAAAAGAGTTGAAATTCAGGTTCAACACTGCTACAGTATGCTTGCTCGGGCTTATGCTCGCTTCAAAGTGTATTCGCAGAGGAAGTCTGCTCGTGCCCAATAATGATTTATATATCTCATTACCGGTGTTTTAAACTTGTTTACGAAAGATCTCCTTGGTTTTGTTGTTTCCTTTTCAAATGAATAGATTTTAGAGTTTAATAAATCTTTCCAAACCTTTTTGTGCCAGTGTATACTTTCTATCAGAGTCATCCCCTAATTATTTCAGCAACTTTTTTCTACTTCTTCTTAAGCTTTTTGACCCTGTCATGAATGTTTACATGTTCAGCATATGGTCTGATGAGACGACTATTCACGGCTGTTAAGCATTCGCAAAACTGTCTCAGAGTAGTTCATGCTGCCAATCGGCCAGGTGTGCGATGTCTCTCAAGTCTGTGCAGACCAGAGTTGGATTTCGATTTTCTCTTGGATGATGCTAATTTGGAAGAAATTAGGAAGAATATTACGTAAGATTTGGATCCTAATACATTCGTGATTTCGCTTCCTCGGGGACTAAAGTAATGTTCCTGTCAGAGGAAAGCTTCGAGTACACACGGAGCTAACAATGCAGCCCCGTTCACTAATCGCTCGAGTCGGCAACTTGCTCAAGGAGAAATTCCAAGGTCGCATAAGGTCTCGTGAAGGGTTCTCCCTTAATTGGGAAAGAGAGATAGGTGTACTTAAGCAGCTAAGTTGACAGTCGGATCTCGCATTGTTTTTGTTCTTGTCACTGTCGCAAGCATAGTGTTTACAACAGAGGAGAAGGATATACATATTTCACAATGGAGCTTTGCATCTTCAGTTACAGCTTAGGATATAGCTTCTTAATTGTCGCGACCTATTCCCTTATCACGTTCTAGTCCTCTGTGTGTCCTCTATCGAAGGGAAGTTGAACTGCTTCTTCGTTTCTCCTTCCCCCATCCTTCAATATTTTCGAGCTCAATGTGCAACACCGCCTGTTTTCGTTCCCTCTCTTTGTATATTCCGTCGCTGCTTGAATACGGCCAATTTTTGATGAGGCCCACACAACTGAAGGGTCGAGACCGAGATGCGTCGTATGAGGTGCGGCCATACATGAGATTGGCCGAGCTGGTCTTGGCGTTCCAGTTTGAGGCCCGCTAGGGCCGCAGTCACAGTTTAGGTTCTTGTTATTTCTATTGCCGCGCGAATTTTGTTTTGCTCCATTATTCGTGGCTTTATTCTGGGTTGATTATGCATTTGCCCTCAGCACCACGTGTAACGTTCAGGACATATCTTCTCCATCTGTGCGCAGCATCAAAAAAAAAACTGTGTCGCAAAGTATGATCACGGTACTAATGTGCGACCAAATGCGAGTGATTCATATAGGAAGGCAGAGTATGGTCGCCTGTGATCCAATTGGTTTGTTTAAAGGTCGTAGAGTGATCGATTCAATTGCAGTCAAGGTAGATTGTTGTGATTGTCTCTAGAAACACCCAAGAGAAGTTTATGGTTCGAAATTCACTCTAATGAGTGGTAATTTAGTGACAGAAAAGGAGTTGGCGACATTGATGCAGTTCGTAGGAAGTGGAATGATCTGCAGACGTTGATGAGTACGCCGAGAAGCCTCAAATTACCGAGGCGGAGTTGAAAAAGATGTCGTATGAAGTAGGCACCCATGTATATTGTGCTAAAATTATTAAAACTATAATTCTCAGTGTGGTACTCTTGAAGGCTCTGCGGATACCTGAACATGGTCTCATCGGATGCTCCAAAGAGGGTATGGAAATGCAAGGTTTAGTTAGGAGTGCTGTCATACGATCCCAGTGTACTCGAAGAGTGGTACCGATTGAGATTAAACACTTGCAAATAGCCCTTGCGCGTCTGTTTTGTATGACTTGGATGAGGCGTTGCAGTCATAATGCTCAAAATTTCGTCGCATTGCACACAATCCCCTCAATGCAGTGCTTAACCAACGCTTTGCATTGTATTGTGTCATACCCAAACTAAATCTACTCAAAAGTCTCATGAATAGCATCTCAACAATAATTTACTTAGGTGTTGGCAACCTGGGGAGAGAAACGGGAAGGTGCTTGTGTAATGGCCGAGAGAATTGATACAGTCGTGGCGAACATTGTACTTCCCCACTGATGCTTCTGGAGAGAGAAGTTATGCGTTTGTAGGTGAGTTTTTTCTTAGAACTTATTCAAGACATTCACCTCCATGATGTGTTTTTGCGCATGTTGTGCATGTGGCTTAAGGTGGGAAACTATTATGTTGAGTTTGTTATCTCATGCACCTAAAATGTGGAAAGGTTTGGGATTCATCGTTTACAATAACCGGCGTCTCGAAGCATCTTGTTGATTATTTCGAGGTTTTCTACGAATATGTTACGCTACCAAGTTCTCACGCTGCTTTCTCGTATCCTAAGCTTCTAGTGGCTGTGTTGTCATAGCTTTTCGGTACTTAAACATAGACGAATTAATTGGCTGATATCAGCACTATACCGACCAGCCAGATTTCATCTATATATTTGCATATAGTTCCACTATCAGTATTGACCGCTTCAACGTGTCATATATTCGATATCTGAGAGTTGGGGTAGGCATGTCACAGGAAATGACGTGCACTTGATAGAAGCATGTGGATAAGCTGCTTTCAACCGTACATTCGCTGGATATCAGCAGAGGATGCTGGCAGCAACTTTTTCCGCAACTTCTATCAAGTGCACGTCGTTCCGGTGACACGCCTACCCCAATCTTTCAGCTATGACTGTTGCGTGTGGGTGTGTTGAAGTTATTACGGATTCTACTTCCATGATCTGAATGTGTACTTTCTCTATAAATCGTTTCTTCTGGGAAATGTAGCGTCCACGTTATTTTCATCGTGTTGGCGAATCTGGTTTCGATCTAGGTATCGAGGTAGTCTTATTGAAGGAATATTAGGTTTTTGGGAGGATTTGGTCCCTCACACAGTGGTGTGCTAGTGGCGCCATGCTCTTGTGGCCTGTAGAACTTCAATTTAGGCACCACGCCGAAACCATGAGGTGCGTATTTGATGTTCCTGTCAGTGTGACTCAGCGACCTCATGCGCTGGTACTCACATCGCGAACCTCGGCACGGAGTAGCTGTTGGAAAATCTGACATTCTTTCTGGTCAAACCTACGTTTCCATTTTTTTTAGTTACAAATATTAGGTTGGCAAGAAAGTTCTGCGACACTCTTTCTAAAATTTTCTTTTTTTCTGAACAATCCATAGGTAACATTTATGACTAACAAATGGTAGAGCATTCTCGAGGCTTTAATCCACGAGGTGGATATAAGTGCTGCAGTAAGTAGTTATCCAAGAAAATTTCGAAAAACCTCGACCACTAGTAAATCCACACTCCGAGTCACTGTCTAGTACAAATGTCTACATAACTATGGATTCGTGTCATGACCACACTTAGGTCTCAAGCAGCTTTCAATAGGCCATGCGTTTCGAGCCCAAGCGTGTTTCCACCTTTACGCAGCTGCTCTGCTGTAATCTTTTGATATTTTTATAAGAAGCCAGCAGCGTCCCTCACACTCCATTACAGGTAGGGCTCTTACAGAAGCTCCACTACTACATCCTTCGTTATGGGCACCATTGTGTAGGTAGAGGCCTAGGCTGGAATACCAGAAGCTGGCCGAGGCAGCTCGTCAAGAGCCCTCGTACCGCGACAATATTCATTTCTTTCATGACATTGCGAATCACCATGATCCGAAATGAGCCCGGTAAGAAATTCTGGAGTTGCGGCAAGATTTCTTACCTCTCTTAGCGTAATCCCCTGGTCGAGCTATAAGGCCTGCAACCTATCCTGGACCTTTAATCATCATCTTGATAACGAAATAATTAGACGATCAACTCCAACTCGGAAGTGAGGTCGCCTCCTTTCTTGACCCGCACTCCGCTGGGTTTTGGAAAAGGCGCATCAGGAAATTTTCTGAGCGTTGAAGACAAGTGTGGTGGACACTCATGATAGATATATGACCGGTCAGGAGTTGTAAACAAAAAAGATAGAATTGAAATCAAAAAATTGAAAAAGTGTCGCAGGACTTTCTTGCCAACCTAATATATATAAGTCCCTTGCCAATTGAATTGAAAGCCCGTGTTTGCCAAGCCAAAGTAATACGTTAGCTATCACCAATGAAATCTTTTTACCGCAGGTGCACTGGCAAACCTGGAAAGAGTTCTGCTAGAGTACGTATTCGAACGCGTATCCGCCCTCGACTTCAAGCCTGTATCTGTACCAGATCTTGTGACGAAGGAAATTGCTGAAGAATGTGGTGTGTTGCACGTCACCGAGACCGCATACAGGTTCTGCACAACTTTTGATGTAATTTGTTCCAGACGTTTAATTTGTGTTCCAGTATTCATTGCAAAATGAGGAAAATATTGTCCTATCTGGCACCGCCGAAATGGGTATTTCTGCACTGCTAAGGATCGCACTTTCGAGGAAGAGCAACTTCCATTTCGATTGGTAGCAATGAGTCGGTAACGGCTTTCAGAAAAATTGTTTAATCTTGTTCTCTATGAAGTTATTTTAGCTTGTGTTTCTTTTTTCCGGGCTCCTTTTACGGCGCCCCTAGCTAATTTCGGCGGATCATAGGCCAGTAGTACTGTTTGTAGTAGGGATACTGTGTTAGTTAACTTTCGAGTAAAGCACATCGGAAATAGATTTTTTTCTGCCTGGTTTGTACAGTGGTTAAGCATCAGTTGGGAGAGCAGAACCACTCTGCCAGGCAATCCAGCGCGGCAGGCGGCGAGTTCCCCAACATACAACCTGTGCTTCTGATATTTTCTCTGTTTTCTCCAACATACATATTTTGCGTCCTCTCATTGTGAGAGCGCTAAACCATTCGTAGCCAGGAGACCGTGCATCAGCTCGACCTTCAATGGAGCATCGGGCTACAGCCCACGCTGGAAGCCATTTTGATGAGCGTAATAGTCAGCGGGAAGCCTAGATCCCAATTAAGTACCTTGTACTGCACGACCACAAAATGAGAGGTGGCAGGTATTACGGGTAGACGGTGGCATAGTCCATTATAGTGTTGCGACTTCAACGGTTGCATTTTTCACGATATATCGGCTAAATGAAACTGGGCTTATTATGCACGC